ATTCTTGCCAATCTGAGCGTGAAAGACAATGGTTACCATTTTCTGATAAGTAGCACCTGCATTCTTCAAGCCGAACGACATCATAACATAACAATAAATTTCATCGCCAGCATAGAACGCGGTTTTCTCTTCATCTTCTGGAGCCATTGGCACCTAGTGATACCCCGAATATGCGTCCAAGAGGCTTAACCTCTCATTGCCTGAAGCTGCTTCAACTAATTTGTCAATGCTCGACATTGGATAGCAATCTTTAGGGCAGGCGTTGTTAAGATTTGTGTAATTAATGCACATTCGCCATTTGCCATTTGCCTTTTTCACCAGAACTGGGTTAGCCACCCATTCACAGTAATCAACTTTCCTAATAAAACCAGCCTGTAGGAGCTTCGTTACCTCCTCTTTAATAGCTTGAAGCCTCTCACCCCCGAAGAGACGCCGCTTCTAGGCCACTAGTTTCTTCAATGGATTGGTGCTGAGCTTATGTTGAGAGACTAAATTTGGAATTCCTAGCATATCTGCCGAAGTCCATGCGAATACATCATTATTAGCGCGAAGAAAAGCTATGAGCTCTGCCCTTTCCTCTGGGTTCAATCTAGTTCCGATCTGCGTCTTTCTGTTTGGATCTCTGTCATCAATGAGCACTTCTTCAACATCTTCAACCGGAGTAGCTCTGGTTTCATCTTCCGGTCGATTATCTACGATCTCAACACCCATAACTTGCTGATTATCAGAAACGCGTTAGGGAATGGCCTCGGGTGTCTGAGCTTTGCCCTTCATGGGTTGCGTTACCGAGGTGATATAACAATGCCTGGCCACCTCTTGGTTTCCTCGCAGTGTTGCTATTCCCATAGGAGTTGGGAACTTCATACAGAGGTGAGACTGGGAAACCACAGCTCGGATTTCAATCAATGTGGGTCGACCAATAACAATGTTGAAAGAGGACGCCATCTTGACTACGAGGAATTTGACCGACGGGGTCACATAGGTCCTGCCACTCCCAAAAGCCACATGGAGGGTAAGAACTCCTTCTACTGGAACAGGCTGGTTGTTGAAACCATAGATAGGACCATCATACTTCTACAACAATGCTGGATCTAATCCCAGACTCTCGAAACAGTGGAAGTACATAATGTCTGGTGCACTCCCGGTGTCAACAAGGACACACTGCACTTCACAGTTGTTAATCATGACAGAAGTGACCAAGGGATCATTGTGAGGTGTAACAACTGTATCGAGATTAGCAGATGTGAAAGTAATGGGTTGATTCTTCCACTCAGCATCGTCAATCTTCCTCTTCTGAGCTCGGTTTTGATGTTTAACCTCTCTGACATACAACTTTCGCTGTTTAGAGCTCAGTCCACCTGCTTCAAGGCCTTCCGTAATCATATGTATGATTCTAGCTGGTGGTGGGAGCGGAGGTGGGGCTTGCTGATATCCCACACCTTGCCTATTTGGGGGATTGCGGACTCCTTGAGGCTGCAGCCTCTGTTCTCTGATAAATCTCGGCTGTTCAACTCTCTGAACATATTCATTTAGCATTCCCTTCTGAGCTAAACTTTCCAGTTCGAACTTTAAGCTGTTGCACTGCTCTGTAGTATGGCCGTGATCCTGGTGAAAATCACAATATTTGGTATGGTCTCGACTAGCAGCAGCAGTTCGTATTGGGCCAGGACGTCTCAAGTCCATCTTATTTTTGATCTGCATAAAAATTTGTGACCTCGGCAAATTAAATGGAGTCCAATTAACTGGAGGTTTACCTGCAGATTGTTGCGGGGGCGTGGAGTTCGGCCTTCCGAATCTCGTTGGGGAGGTCAACATCGGACCTCGATTCTGCGCCATTCTCATCTTTTTTCGGCTCCGATTGTCATCTCTCCATTCTGGGTTCTGGTTCTTAGAGGAAGGTGGGTTTTGCGCCAGGGCGTATTCCTCAGCAGTGATGAATTTCAGAGATCGATCATTTACCTCGCTAAAGGTGGTGGCAGCATGTTTGATCAAACTGTCTCGAAACCTGTCATGTTTGAGACCAGAGATTACAACTGCAATGCCCACAGCTTGGTCGAAGGAACTGACCTCCAACACCGCATCATTGAACCTGCTCATGTAGTTCTTCAGGGACTCTCCATCCCTCTGTTTAACTCGCATCAATTCGGTGGTAGTTTTCCTAATCAACCCTCTACTGGAAAACTTAGTGGCGAAAGCAGACGCCATTTCTGTGTAAGAACTAATTGACCTCGGAGGTAGACTATAATACCAAGTTCGAGCATTACCTCGCAGAGTAGAGGGAAAGATTTTGCACATTAACGCATCAGAGGCATTTTGAGCTTGCATGCAAGAGTAGAAAGCATGCAAGTGATCATCGGGATCTTTCGTCCCATCATAAGTCTCCAGTTGTGGTATTTTGAAGCCAGTAGGATAGGGTTCCAGTGTGATGTTGGTATTCAGGGGGTGAGGTATGGAATCAGCAGCATGGTGTGGGGGTGGAGCACCTCGGTGTTCAGCTATCAGCTTTTCTAAGCTATCGAGGCGGCGAGTAACATCATCGGGGATGGGTTGCTGAACAGGTGCTATGTGGGATTGATCCTGAGATTCGCTAATAGCGGGAGCAGGTTGAACCGGTTGAGGATTCTGTTGTGGAGCTGGGGGTTGTTGAACAGGGTTTAGTAAATTAATGAGGGGATCACCAGGATTATTTCTAGCTAGAAGTTGAGCCAGTACCAACTGAAAA